ATTCATTGTCTCATTCACCGTTTCATTCACAGCCTTATGTATTGTGTTTCTGTCCCTTTCCTTTTAGTTGTGGACAAGAAAAATTGGAGTATAACAAGCATTTATGGACCAATTAAGACCATTAATAATAATAAAAAACCGTGATGTGTTGACACGTAAAATGCATCCAGACAGAATACTGAGGCACCGATCACGTCACTTTCAAATTTATTTCACAACGTATATTAACCACTCTCCGAAATCACTTAGCTGTGTAAATTTTCAAGGGAAACCAATTCCGGGGGTTTCCTCAGAGCACAGCTTAACAAGGCCCAGACCAACGTAGAAATCCCTTTTGCTTTTGTTTTAACTTTCTAAGTCATCTAGGCAGGAAATGGAGTTGATTTTCTCTGATGCCTCGAAATAAACCAATGAAATAAATTTCCAGAAGTTATCGAGTGCCGGAATGAATGAAGTAACAGTCAACCGCCTCATCGCCAAGTTCAAGGCCAAGTTCAAGGGAAAGAGAACTGCCGCAGGGGATCGGCGGTGGACACGGACCCAAGGTGTCCGATAGATTTGTTATGGTCTTAAGGCGGCAGTTGAAGTGTGAACCATCCCTGACAGCCGGAAAAATGAAGAATGAAGACTCCAAACTCTTCGAATCAGGGAATGTTTACGCTATACGAAAGTGCATCGAAAGATGTTTTGTGCGAGTAGATGGGGACGTGACGCGAAGCTCAGGCGACCAAGCAGCAACGTGATTAAAGTGCATTTCTCAAAGGGCACTGTGACCAGGACGTGGACAGCTTCAGAAAATACTTTGGATAGAGGAGGCTACTTTCTGTGTCAAAAGCACAGAAGGAACAAGGGGGATCAGGGAGAGAAAAGGACTATATCCATACGATCCTAAATAAACAGTGAGAACTACATAATGATACAGACTTTGGTCCAGCCTGGCTGACGTTCCTCATATTTTGCTAATGCAAAAGGGATGAAACCAGACTCGTTCGAGGGGCGTCGTCGTACAGACATACATACGTAAACACATATATAAGCACATTCATACAAACATATACGTACTTCACGTCATTCCAAAGACGGCGTGTCGCCATGTATGTTAAAATATTGTTAAATTCATGTGAAGTTCCACACATCCCTCCTGTGTCTCGACATAAGGTGTTTAATGACTAATGATCGATGGTGTTGGCGCCCAAGAGACAAGTACATATATTATATATATATATGTAAACATAAACATACCTACATATACACATGTATATATAAATGGAAATCTGTACATATGATATATGTATTGTGTATATGTGTGTGTATATATAAGGGAGAATATCTTCCTCTACTATCATAATACGAGTGGAGAATGAAAATCGAGTATTCTGCTTAAACCCTTACGTGCATAAATCACTTGTATTTTTAGATAGTCATATAAAGATATTTTGTACTGCATAAGAACTTTAAATGAATCCTAAATAAACTTCTATTCCAAACTCGTTAGAAATAAAAACGATGCCAATATAAACAAACGTCTGACAAGAATGCTTCCTGAATTTATGCTTATGCGAAGGAAAATTAGAATATAAATTACGTAATATGATATTTATTTTCATGTTTCATGAGACGGGGGAACTCAACGTCCTTTGCAAACATTGTTTTGCAATTGCATTTACTCAACATGTTTTTCGTTTCCCCCTAATTTGGCTTGAGATCAGGTGTTTGGTGACTAATGGTCGATGGTGTAGGCGCCCAAGAGACAAGCACAGCTGGCGGGAAGCTTGAAGGTCTCGATGGCGAAGGGGAAGTACTGATCATAGGAGTCGTAGACAAGGAAGCGGTGGTAGACGGACTTCTGCAGACACTTGGACTCGTAGCACTCAGGCACCAGAGGACATGCATCGGCGGAACTGAGACACTCTTCGATGCGTGTAGTCTGAGTGAGAGTCTGATAATGGGCATCGATATTGTTGACAACGACACGCCATTTTCCCTCGGTGTTCAGGGCACGAAGGGGCCTGACGTAAGCGGTCTCTGATGGGCACAAGTAAGTTTCCTCCTCCAGGGTGTTTGGTCGGTCGACAGACAGCTCGGTGTTGAGGTCGGCTACGTCAGCATAGAGGGAGAGGAGCTTCTCGTAGTGGTACTCTGCTGCGTGTTTGATCTCGTAGGTGGGATAGTGGTCGTCCTCGAGGCACCAAGCTTTGGTTGTGTTGGCAGCACATTCTGGCACAGCAGGCTCGTGTTGATGCTCATAGGAAGGCTGTGGGTGATAAGCGGGAGCAGGGTGGTAGGAAGGTTGTGGATGGTAGGAAGGCTGAGTGTGGTAGGTAGGTTGATGGTGGTATGAAGGGCTTGCGTGGTGAGAGGAACTGTGATGGTGACAGCAGGAGCACCGCCGAGACTGATGCTGACGTGTGAGGTCTGGTCGGCCAGAACGGCGACCGCCAAGAAAGCGAAATCTGAATAAAAAAAAAACAGAATATGGTAAGATTAATCCATATTGATGATGCTTGCATCCATAATATACCTGGTATTTCGTGTGCGCGCTAATGAACGCACCCACACCAGTACTCATATGGGCGAGTAAATGTATCTCAGAACATAATGGCAACTCACCAGGTATCGTAGAGCCATGCTTGCACTCTCAGCTCTCGGCGCGTCTGAACTGTAGCGACCGTGATGATGGGCGCCTTTATATATGGAGCAGTGTCGTTCCTCCCCTCGCCTCTCCCCCCCCCCCCCCCCAGCACAACCGAACCGTGGAGTAATTTCATTTTGATTCATAGATCATTTAAATGTTCCTCCGTGTTTAGAGTTCGTTTTACACTATATGAAATATCCATATTTGTTGCAAAACACAAAGGGAAATGGAGTGTGGAATATGAACAATTAGAAAAGAATTGAGCATTTCAGGAAGCGAATAATTAGAGTGAAAGGTTATCCTTGGGTCAGCCAGCCCTCTCCTGGGGTGATCTAAACGTTTTTCCTTTCTCTTGTCTGTTATTTCTGAACATGATTATCAATATATGTGTTTGCTTATGTGAACTGTACATATTCATTTGTGGAAAATGTATGAATGAAAATGAAGATCTTAGTACGGTTTCGATTACATCTTCGTCAGAAATACTACTTCTCTTGCACTGTGAAGATATTCATACTCATACCTTTTCTATGTATATGTATATATGTTGTTTATATGTATTTATACATATTTATACTTCTATTCATATGTGTTTACTTACAGTTTCCAATCAGATTTATTATATACATACACATACATCTATATACAAACTAATATAATTCACATGTAAATTTAGATCCATATAAATGTATGTATATACGTATGTATTCAATATTCAAACATTAACATGTATATATAGTTATGTAAGTATACAGTTGATACACACATACACACGTAAACACACACACACATATATTTGTGTGTGTTATATACATTTATGATGCAATATATATATGCTTATAAATATGCATATGTATGTCTTTATGTATATAAAGAGAAATGTAAAGTCATGTATATGTATATAAACAAATATTCTTTTACAAATATACATATGCATATATATACATATATAAAAATATATATATTTGTATATATATGTATGCATATACATATATAAGTGCATATGTATGTATACACACGCACACACACACACATTTATATTTGTATGTGTGTGTACATATACATGCACCCACATATATATACTTATATATATGTATATATCTATATACATATGTGTATATATACACATGTATATGTATACATATACTGTATATCTACATATACATATATGTGTATATATATCTATGTATATGTATACATAACACACATATATAGATATATATACACATGTGTGTGTTTGTGTGCGCGCGTGTGTGTATAATGTATATATATATATATATATATATATATATATATATATATATATATATATATATATATATATATATATATATATATATATATATATATATATATATATATAACACACACGTGTATGCGTGTGATGTGTTCGAAGGTGGGTGGGTGTATAAGTGCAAATCAATATTAACAAAACTTAAGTGAGAGAGAAAAAAATATTCCTTTATAGCACTATACATTTTTGCATTCCATGACTTTGTGGTTTAAAAAGACACTCATCACTGGGTTTGAAACAGTTACGAATTGCTTAGGAAGTACGGATAGGTTCATTGTTCAATTCTAGTAGTGAACTCATTCTGTACTTGAACTAATTCCTTTACATATGTTGGTGCTCCCATTTCGGTATCTCAACCATCTTTAGCTATTCACTTTTCTCATATTCACAAAATTTTGCTTTTCTTACAGAGACAATAGGAAAATCATAACGAGAATGATGATTGTTAACATTCCTCATCTTATCAAAATACTGATATATGTATATAAACATGTATGATACGTATGTCAAATACACTTGTATGAAGATATCCAGTACATTTGTCAACATGGATACGTTTCATGATTGTTAACATCCCTTATATTATCAAAATACTGATATATGTATATAAACATGTATATATACATATGTATATTTGTACCTTTTTTAATTTCGTAAAAGCGAATTTATTATTATTTTCATTAATGTTATTGCTATTATTTAAATTATCAACTTTATGCAAAGATCACTTTCGTCACCATCATAACCATTATGTATCTTTTTTATCAATATTATTTATTAATATGAACCATGTCATTATTCCTTATTACTATTTATATAACTTCTATTATTATTTTGTTATTGTTCTTTGTCTTCTAGCTCTCATTCTTGCGATAAATTATCATTTTCATCAATATTATGCACCTTTTAAGATTATTATTACTATTAATGCTTTTATCATCATCATAATTGTAATAATCTTCACTGCAACTATTTGTTATAATTATTATTTTTTTCTGTTTGTAATGGTTATTAAAATCAATAGCAATTAACATGTGCAGGAGTAAGAAATCATAGAGATATGTTCAAAAATGATTTGTTTATAAAAATATTACAATGGACTCGCTTTACATGGCTGAAGAGAACGAGAGAGCAATGGAGGGAGCGTCCCTTCGGTTCCTGGCATGACTGTTGGTGTTACGTGAAGAAAGCAGTTCTCCAGTCACGTGGGTGTTCTCCACTGCTTGAAGGACTTACAGGGGTTGTCGGTAGTCCCATGGTGGCCATGGAGTGTTAGTGTGTGAAGAGGCGATTCGTTGAGAAGCGTTGTGGTGGCGTGTTAGGCGGGAAGGTGGCATGAGCAGGCAGATGGCATCTTGTAGATGTCGATGAAGAGGCCCTTGTAGGGGTCACATGGGTCGTAGGAGAGGAGTCGGTGGTACACTGACTTCTGGGTGCAGTGGCTCTGGTAGCAAGGAGCAAGGGCGCGGCAAGCAGCCTCTGGGAACAGACAAGTCTCGAGGCGGGCAGTCTGGCTGTAATAGTGAACGTCGTTGACAATGACGCGCCACTTGCCTTCCACATTCTGGGCACGCTTGGGCATGGCATACACCACTTCGGAGGGACAGATGTAACCCTCAGGACCAGCCCAGTGGGTGGCATCGTAGGGAGAGTCCCCAGTGGAGGCCCCAGTGTAGTAAGAGTAGTCGAAGGCCTCCTCCTGGTCCTTGGTAATCATGTCTACCAGGTCGTCAGCAGACTGGTCGGCGACGTCAGCGTACTTCTTGGCGAAGAGGTGATCGGCAGTGATGGCAGCCTTGATCTCGTACTCGGGATACTCAGCGTCTTCCAAGCAGTAGGAGAGAGTGGAGTTGTCAGCGCATGCGGGGGCCACACTTGGGTCGCAGTAAGCGTGCTCATAGGCATGCTTTGTGGCCGTAAGCAGGTGCATGATGACCATAGGCAGGCGCATGATGAGCGTAAGCAGGCTGTGGTGATGTCCATATGCTGGAGGGTGGACGGAGCCCAGAACGACCCCGGCGCATGCCAGAACGACCGACTGGAAAGCAAAGATTAACATTAGAACAAAATCAACATTTTGTAAGGACCAAAATCTTCAGATACAATGACAGCTTAACTTGTAGAATGTTTCCCCTACCAATGTAAGAGCCATGAATGAAACGAGCAGATAGATACGAGAATCGCTTCTACTGTTGCCCATTCGTTATTATCGAGTTTATATAGGGCGTCGTATGCGTTGGCCACGCCCACGCACTACGAAGATGCGCGATTTCAAGGTTAGAGAAGCGTGAAAGCGCGTCGTTTTCTGGCTCTGTCGGCATTATTTCCCCAACAATAGACACGTTAACTAATCTCTCTACCTTGGGGCGTTCTTCCTCTCCTCTGTTCTAAAAGGCGAGAAGTAGCCAAGTATACACATTACACGCGCACACATTCATAGACACAAAAACATGATATAAATATATGTGCTTGTGTGTGTGTGTATAGATGAGGATGTGGATGTTTGTCTGGATCCGTATATGATGAATATATACTCTTTTAAACATATATTAGATAGGTATGTAAATATTCATGTATATACAGATATGTATATAGATATGTATGTATGATTACACATAATATATATACTAAAAATACAGTGTATTTTTCAATCTAGACAAAAACGCATATATATTATATAATATATATATTTGTGCATATATGTGTATATATATTATATATATGCATGCATAGATAAGCCTCTATATTCACAGACACATGCATGCCCGCACACACGCACGCATTATATATATATAAATATACATATATATATATATATATATATATATATATATATATATATATATATATATATATTATATTATACATAATACATATACATAATGAACATATGCACACATATATAAAACAGTAATTTCTCTCTATATACATATATATGTATGCATATATGTAATTTATTTATATAATATATCAAATATATTATGTGTGTACTAAGATGGATATTCATAGATATATATTACTTATCTACTACTTATGTACCTCTACATATGTATGTATGTATATATAGACATATGTCATATGCATATTGTATATACTGTATATATATATATATATATATATATATATATATATATATATATATATATATATATATATATATATATATATATATCATATGTATATTTCATGTACTATATATACATATATGTATATATGTATATATATATATATATATATATATATATATATATATATATATATATATATATATATATATATATATATGTATGTATGTATGTATATATGTCAGACTCATAGACACAAAAACAAACACATACATATATACACACATCGGAGCGAGTAACTGTAGCCAGGTCCCATTTCAAGCGACGGAAATTCAGGTAACCTTCTCACAGTCCGATAATTCTCCTGAGATAAATGAACTGGAAACCTTGGCAGTTCACGCAATTACGTAAGAAAGCGATCAGTTTGGGATCTGGCTGCCCGGAGGCTCATGGTCGCGTGTGCTTGCGTAACAAAACGCATTTTAAACTGTACTTTTTAGATATGGGAAAGAACATACTGCTAGGACCCATTCAACATCTGGAGCGATATCTTAGAAATATGATGGAGTGGTCGACAATTGTAGGAATGGAGCGATATTATAAGTGTAATGTGTGTGCATTGAATACGAATGGTCGGTAAGTGTGAAATAAGCAAAGGAGAGTCGTGTGTAGGGAGGAATCTTCAACGCAAGAAATAGTATAATCATAGATTTTTCAAATCTCTTTAGTGGAGGTAATTCTTAATTAAGGTAAAGCCCCTTTCTGTAATTTACTGCTCAACTTTAATCCATAATTCATTCATTGTCTCATTACCGTTTCATTCACAGCCTTATGTATTGTGTTTCTGTCCCTTTCCTTTTAGTTGTGGACAAGAAAAAATGGAGTATATAACAAGCATTTATGGACCAATTAAGACCATTAATAATAATAATAAAAAACCGTGATGTGTTGACACGTAAAATGCCGCATCCAGACAGAATACTGAGGCACCGATCACGTCACTTTCAAATTTATTTCACAACGTATATTAACCACTCTCCGAAATCACTTAGCTGTGTAAATTTTCAAGGGAAACCAATTCCGGGGGTTTCCTCAGAGCACAGCTTAACAAGGCCCAGACCAACGTAGAAATCCCTTTTGCTTTTGTTTTAACTTTCTAAGTCATCTAGGCAGGAAATGGAGTTGATTTCTTTGATGCCTCGAAATAAACCAATGAAATAAATTTCCAGAAGTTATCGAGTGCCGGAATGAATGAAGTAACAGTCAACCGCCTCATCGCCAAGTTCAAGGCCAAGTTCAAGGGAAAGAGAACTGCCGCAGGGGATCGGCGGTGGACACGGACCCAAGGTGTCCGATAGATTTGTTATGGTCTTAAGGCGGCAGTTGAAGTGTGAACCATCCCTGACAGCCGGAAAAATGAAGAATGAAGACTCCAAACTCTTCGAATCAGGGAATGTTTACGCTATACGAAAGTGCATCGAAAGAGGTTTTGTGCGAGTAGATGGGGACGTGTAGCGAAGCACAGGCGACCAAGCAGCAACGTGATTAAAGTGCATTTGTCAAAGGGCACTGTGACCAGGCGTGGACAGCTTCAGAAAATACTTTGGATAGAGGAGGCTACTTTCCGTGTCAAAAGCACAGAAGGAACAAGGGGGATCAGGGAGAGAAAAGGACTATATCCATACGATCCTAAATAAACAGTGAGAACTACATAATGATACAGACTTTGGTCCAGCCTGGCTGACGTTCCTCATATTTTGCTAATGCAAAAGGGATGAAACCAGACCTCGTTTCGAGGGGCGTCGTCGTACAGACATGCATACGTAAACACCGTATATATATATATATATATATATATATATATATATATATATATATAGCACATTCATACAAACATATAAACGTACTTCACGTCATTCCAAAGACGGCGTGTCGCCATGTATATTAAAATATTGTTCAATTCATGTGAAGTTCCACACATCCCTCCTGTGTCTCGACATAAGGTGTTTAATGACTAATGATCGATGGTGTAGGCGCCCAGAGACAAGCACATATATTATATATATGTAAACATATACATACCTACATATACACATGTATATATAAATGGAAATCTGTACATATGATATATGTATATGTAAGTATATGTGTGTGTATATATAAGGGAGAATATCTTCCTCTACTATCATAATACGAGTGGAGAATGAAAATCGAGTATTCTGCTTAAACCCTTGCACGTGCATAATCACTTGTATTTTGTAGATAGTCATATGCAAAAATATTTTGTACTGCATAAGAACTTTAAATGAATCCTAAATAAACTTCTATTCCAAACTCGTTCGAAATAAAAACGATGCCAATATCTACAAACGTCTGACAAGAAATGCTTCCTGAATTCCAAGATATGCTTATGCGAAGGAAAATTAGAATATAAATTACGTAAAATATTTATTTTCATGTTTCATGAGGGGGAACTCAATCCTTTGCAAACGATGTTTTGCAATTGCATTTACTCAACATGTTCATTCGTTTCCCCCTAATTTGGCTTGAGATCAGGTGTTTGGTGACTAATGGTCGATGGTGTAGGCGCCCAAGAGACAAGCACAGCTGGCGGGAAGCTTGAAGGTCTCGATGGCGAAGGGGAAGTACTGATCATAGGAGTCGTAGACAAGGAAGCGGTGGTAGACGGACTTCTGCAGACACTTGGACTCGTAGCACTCAGGCACCAGAGGACATGCATCGGCGGAACTGAGACACTCTTCGATGCGTGTAGTCTGAGTGAGAGTCTGATAATGGGCATCGATATTGTTGACAACGACACGCCATTTTCCCTCGGTGTTCAGGGCACGAAGGGGCCTGACGTAAGCGGTCTCTGATGGGCACAAGTAAGTTTCCTCCTCCAGGGTGTTTGGTCGGTCGACAGACAGCTCGGTGTTGAGGTCGGCTACGTCAGCATAGAGGGAGAGGAGCTTCTCGTAGTGGTACTCTGCTGCGTGTTTGATCTCGTAGGTGGGATAGTGGTCGTCCTCGAGGCACCAAGCTTTGGTTGTGTTGGCAGCACATTCTGGCACAGCAGGCTCGTGTTGATGCTCATAGGAAGGCTGTGGGTGATAAGCGGGAGCAGGGTGGTAGGAAGGTTGTGGATGGTAGGAAGGCTGAGTGTGGTAGGTAGGTTGATGGTGGTATGAAGGGCTTGCGTGGTGAGAGGAACTGTGATGGGTGACAGCAGGAGCACCGCCGAGACTGATGCTGACGTGTGAGGTCTGGTCGGCCAGAACGGCGACCGCCAAAGAAAGCGAAATCTGAAAAAACAGAATATGGTAAGATTAATCTATATTGATGATGCTTGCATCCATAATATACCTGGTATTTCGTGTGTGTGCAAATGAACACACCCACACCAGTACTCATATGGGCGAGTAAATGTATCTCAGAACATAATGGCAACTCACCAGTATCGAAAGCCATGCTTGCACTCTCAGCTCTCGGCGCGTCGAACTGTAGCGACCGTGATGATGGGCGCCTTTATATATGAGCAGTGTCGTTCCTCCCCGCCCCTCCCCCCCCCAGCACAACCGAACCGTGGAGTAATTTCATTTTGATTCATAGATCATTTAAATGTTCCTCCGTGTTTAGAGTTCGTTTTACACTATATGAAATATCCATATTGTTGCAAAACACAAAGGGAAATGGAGTGTGGAATATGAACAATTAGAAAAGAATTGAGTATTTCAGGAAGCGAATAATTAGAGTGAAAGGTATCCTTGGGCCAGCCAGCCCTCTCCTGGGGTGATCTAAACGTTTTTCCTTTCTCTGTTGTTATTTCTGAACATGATTATCATATATATGTTTGCTTATGTGAACTGTACATTCATTTGTAGAAAAAGTATGAATGAAAATGAAGATCTTAGTACGGTTTCGATTACATCTTCGTCAGAAATAACTACTTCTCTTGCACTGTGAAGATATTCATACTCATACCTTTTCTATGTATATGTATATATGTTGTTTATATGTATATACATATTTATACTTCTATTCATATGTGTTTACTTACAGTTTATCATATTTTTATATACATACACAT